AAAGTTATAATATATATAATATATATTATTTATATAATATATTTATGAATAAAATTAAAATTTAAAAGTAAAATTAAAATTAAAATAAAATTTTTTATGCCAATAGTTATGGTACTAAAATCTAACTAATTTTAAAAAATATTGCTAATTAAAAAAAATTAAGAAACATATTGAATTATTTGATGAAAATAATATATTCATTATATTTAATATTTAAATATAATACGTTTAATATTTATTATTTTATATATATAATATTTAATAGTTAATTAAATATTTATATAACTAATAGTTTATCTTTTCCAAAGAAATCTATCTACAATTATATTAAGTGCTTTTCATTTTCTAGTTATTTTAATATTGTTAACAATGCTAACTATTTGATGATCAATGTATTTTTATATTTTTATCTAAAATGACGTTAGTTTTGAATTTCTATTGTTTTTTTCGACGCTCGATGTGATAATTTTGATTGATATTTTTTTTTCCATTAGTTTATGATATTTATAGTTTCAGAATTTTAAAATTCAATGAGGTTTAATATTTATTTTTCAAAATTTCAATTTAAAAAGCTTATAACATTTATAAAGTTTATAATATTTTATAAACTATATATTTTATCTTTATTTACTATTTATTCTATTTATTCTTTATATTTTTATATTCTATTGCTTCAATAAACAATAATGATATTAAAAAATAGAAATTAATAAAAAAAATTATTTCAATTCAATTCAATAAAAACATAACTATTTAATAATAAAATTTATTAACACGAAATTAAAAAAAAACGTGAAATCGCTGATGAAATTTTTTAGACAAATTTTTTAAACTTTTCAAAAAAAAAAGTGATTTTTTTCATTATATTATTTCAAAAATAAACAAATCAATTAATCAGCATAGGGAAAACTTTCAAAATTAAAAATCTTCTTGTATAAATTAATCGAATTAAAATAAAGAGATGTTGTTAAGAAGAATAAAATATCTAATTCTCGTTTGCTTTCAGTGAATGATGGCGACTTTGTCCAGTATTCGTGCGCTATGCTCTCTAATTATGCAAGCAAAACAAAACAAGAGGCCGAAATAAGATTAAGTTAATGAGATAAATGAAGTACTCACCTATTTTTCTCCAGCTCGTTATGAGTTGTCCTGCAAAAGAAAAAAATGTTCTTGTTAGACTTCAAAGCAGTGAAATCGTTTGCTTTGGCGTTATTAAGAAAGAAATGGAAGGGAAAACGATGTGTTTAAGTGGCTAAGAAAATTAAAACAGGCGGGAAGCAAGAAACTTCTAAATGTTCTTTGCAAAGCAAATGAGATGTCGGAATTTATAAGAAAGTAATTTAAATAAATGAATAAGAAAATAATTTAAATAAATAAAATCTGATGATGATGCTTAGTATTGAAAGTGGTCAAATATATAATTTACAAATTTTAATTGTAATAAATCATAAATACATATTCTCCAAATATTTTATAATAATAATATTTCCTACATTTTATTTTATAATGTTTGAATATGTGAATTTAGCATGGATAAAAAATAACCCAATTATCCAATTATTTATTATTAATCCCATTGAAAATGTAAATAAGATAAGAAAAAAAAATAAAAAGAGTGCATTTTCAAATATAAATAATAATTGTAATATTATTGGCTTGTTTTTTACTTAGTATGAATTAGTAATTAAAATTATATTAAACTACAGGAGAATAGTTCAAAAAAATAGAAAATTTTTAAATTAATATTTTTTCATCTTTTCATTGTAATTTATTTTATAAAATAAATTTTATAAAATAAATTTTTTCCTGATATTTACAAATAAGTCAATTATTAGTAAAAGATCATAGAACACAGAAGACGAGACATATAAAGTGATAAATTTCTTTCTTCAAAATTATGATAGATATAAATTTAAACATATTAAATAGTTCTAATATTTTCATTGATTATAGAATGTTCTTAAGTCTAAAATGTTTATGTGAATCATATAAAAATATACATAAAAATAAAAATAGAATAAAACATAATAATATTAAAATAAATAAATAATTTTTCTAACGAAATTTTCAAAATACGAAATTTTCTTAAGAACAATTTAAGCTTCAAAAGATTAATAAATTCGAGTTTGAAAACTTAAAAATTGAAATCTCTATATACAATAAATTTTTTTAATATTTCGGTAAAAAAATTGAATCTTTTTTTTTTTAATTTAATTTTTTTATTATTCTATATTTGAAAAATTTTTAAAATATATATATCTATGACTCTTAATTTAATTCATAAAAAAAATTCACATTTATAAAGAATTAAAAGAATGAAATGAATATAATAAAAAAAATTAAAATAACCGATATTATAAAAATATATTGTATAAAATAATAAATATAAAAATAAATAGAAATTAAAATAAATATTAAAGAATTAAAATATTACAAATTTGAATATTTTTATTATGTAAAATTTATAATGAAATAAAGGAATAATGATCTGACAACTAAAATTTTCAAGTATTGAATTCCTACTCAACAGAGATTTTATAGTCTGTTTCAATTCTGTTTTCGATTGATGAATACTCTTGAAATGAGTTCAATGACCTTCCCGCGCAGTTATTTAAGACACAATATACGATGAAACTGGCTTTTGAAGTGTGTTTCGTATCAACATAATTCAGAATAAATTTATCGACAATACCTTCAACATACTGATAAGATATACTTTCAGCTGTGCTTTGTTCAGATTTTGTTTTAACAATCTTGTACAATAACTGGATTTATATTCGCAAAAAATAATTAAAATGTTGAATATATATTTTATAAAAGATATAAGATTAAATATTATATATTAAATTGTATATTAATTTTGAATTTTATTATTATATTAATTTTAAATTTTTCGAAATAAATGATTCCATCATTCTTTAAATCTATAAATAACGAGTAATAACTGTTAATCAAAAATTCAATAAATTCAACAAAAATACAAAAAAAAAATCAAATAAAATTTCGTTTAAAAAGAGTATTTATATAGTTTTATCTTTATATTAGAAAAATATTTAATTTTTAAATTTGTTATTTTTCAAACTTTCAAATATTCAAATTATTAAATTTTCAAATTTTCTGATTTTTCGAATTTTCAAATTTTCGATTTTTTACTCAAGTTGTCAAAATTTGAAAATTTTTGAAGTTTGAATCTTTAAATTTTTGAATTTATCAATATTTAATCAATATTTCGAGATCTTTCAAACTTTCCATCTTCCTTCGTCAAAATTTTAAATTTCTTAACTTTTGGGCTATAAAATTTTTAAATTTCTAAAATTTTTTAATTTTTTAATTTTTTTTTAGAATTTTCCCTTTTTCAAATTTTTCAACTTTCAATCTTCCAAAATTTGAAATTTCAATAATTCCAAAATATCATTGTTTCAAAAACTCAATAAAACTCCAATACCAAATCTATTATCCTACTCAAAATAAAATAAAATCAAATCCCCCCAAAAACAATTAAAACAAAACAAAGAAAAAACCACAAATAAAAAAAAAGTAAAAAAAGATAAAAACAAATGATACATCAAACTCGACAGACAGTATTCGAAAAAACACGTATAAAATCTATTTTATCGACGTGTTTCGTCAAGATACCAACCTGCTGCCCTGGGATTTTTTCGTCTTTGGCCTTTTTGTGACCGTCCGCATATCATCGGGCATCGGCATCGTCGAAGCGTAGCCATGTTCAGCTTCTGCAATGACAAACCAATCGGTTCGGTCAGTATCTGGTCCCGATCCATTCGCATCGCGCGAATTCCGAAAGATAGCCGCGCTCCCTCGAGAAAAAACCGTTTGCCTCGCCTCGCGGCCAACACAACTCGTTAAAGCGCGCGTACATACACAGCCGTCGCGAAATAAAGTCACGTTCCCTCTTCCCGACATAACTTACAGCGGCATTAAAGTTGGACACGAAGCGGTTCTCGTTCGAACGACAAGGATGAAGAAAGGACTAAGAGTGAGCGAATGAATGAGAAGAATAGAGTGAAAAGGAGGGGGAACTGGCCGAAGAGATGCGGAGACGGTCGAAAAGCGCGGAATTTATGTTACGATTTCAGTTAACGCACGCGACGTGTTGCAGGGAACCGAACGATGCACACACGTGACGTTCACCTCGAATAAATTCGAAATTGTAACAATGCGAGAACGAGAGCGGGAACGAGCCAATTTACGAGCTATCGGCAGTTTCGAATCGACTGGATATAGAGGTTGTTAGGGATAAATGGGAGATAGGGGATGGAGATTGTTTTTTGGGTGGGAGAATGGAGGATCTTGGGGATTGGGTAATTGAGAGATGTTGGGAACGAGCATTTTTTCAAATTTTTTTTTTTACTTTGGAATAATGAGAAATATAGTGATAGTTATTTTTCATAAAAATTTTTAATGTTAAAAGCTACGAAATTTTTACTTTTTTTTTTTACTCATTAGATTTTCGCTTATCTAGCTTTGCTTTAACCGGATTGTCATAAAAACAAATCATTATTTTAAATATATATTAGTTATTATTCTTATGTATTATATATTGTTATTATTTCAATTGTATTATTAATATATATTATTCATAATATTATATTATATTAGTAATATTACATATTATTATGTTCATTTATTAGATTTTATTATTTTTCTTTAATGTTTATTCTTGTTTTTTTGTCAATTTTACAGTTTATTTGGAATATAGACGTACCCATTCCTTTATAAAAAATTTCTTATTTTATTCAAGATGACATATTCATGATTTTTCTTCGATTTATCATATAAAGTCTATGATTGTCTGAATATTTTTCAAAGTAATATAATAAATAAAAATACTCTTCAATTTAAAACAGTAAAAAAAAAATTTTTTTTTTTTTTATATATCATTTCATATTACCCTATTATCATTTCATATTATTCTCTCTCACGAAGTTTTC